ACCCCCAATCTCATGACTACAGGTGCACGCACTTGCAAGACAATAAGGTCAATAAGGAAATTTTGAATTTTGCCCAGGTGGCGGCCGAAGCCTTCTCTTATCGATTCTCGACCACCAAGGGATCATTAACGTGCGCAACTTGCATACGTGACCTCCCAAAATTTTTCGTGCTTGAAGAAGGCTAGGTGTAGATCTTTCTTGCCATAAGATCAGGGGTGTGGTTGAAAGACAGCAGCAAGAAGGAGCCAGGGAGTAGCAGTAGAAATTTATAAGTATGAAATAATAAAAGACATGTTATACTTAAAGAATATGGCACCAATAGAAAACCTAAAAAATTGACCCCAGTGTCTATTTTTGGTCAATGTCTTCATTTGTGAATTGCGAGAAGTAAGTCATTTTTTTTTTTTTTAGTAGAGCGTTTTACGGCGCTCGCAACTGCATAAGGTCATATGAGCGCCAAGGGGTGGGTGTCAACAGAGAAGTCCAAACAGGGAATCAGACTTACTCTGCTCACTTCTCTAGCTTCAACGGCACAAGGTCTGCTTCGACTATCACCCAGAAATAGCAGGTCAAACATACAAAAGAAATAGAGGAGAATGAAAAAATAGTAAGGATTAGGAAAGAAAAAGCAGCAGTTCCCTGTTGTAGATCAGGCACAGTTATGAGTGTGACATGATGAATCAGCCCATTTACAATTCTACTGTGCTTGAACGAGAAATGTCCCCCCTTTGGGAATGGCCTAAAGACACTACAGTCAGTGGCACTGCCCCGGGGGTTAAGTCATTTTGTCAGCACACCTCATAAATGTGCTTCAAGACAGCGCGTGACAACAATAAGTCAGCCTGTATATCCCACCACAACCACCCACAAAAAGAGGGAGCAAAAGACATTATTTGGTCGCTTTTAAGAACAAGGGGGCTATCCCGAAAATGCTGTTTTGAGAAAATCGAAGATAAAAGTTTTTGCCTCTTGCTCAGTCTCAGTAAAAGACAAGGAGAGTTTTCTCTATAACCAAACATATATATACAGCAATGACACTAAACTTCTCCTATAGGTGGGGCAATGCCCACTTTTGGTGTAGGCCAAGATTTCTGAAAACCCTCAAATCTGGGTTACCCCGCTTCTCCTTAAAAGCAACCATTTATATGTCCTTACCTTTTAGTTTTAGTAGAAGTTTTACGGAGACTGCAAAAGGTCATAAGAGCGCCAGAAATTTAGAGGTGTTACAAGAGAGTAACAAACATAAAAAAGAAGAAGGGGAGATAATGACGGTAGATGCTTCATAGGAAAGAAGAAGCAAACCACACCAGAGCACCCACCACCCACCCACTGTGTCCTTACCTAGCGAGTCAAAGTCACACATGGGCCGTATGTAGCCCACCACCACCACCTTCAGGTGCTCGCCGTAGAAGTCGTTGGGGAACTCGTGGATGACGTGGGTCTCCTGGACACGAAAACAAAACAAAAAACAAATCAATTAGTTGTATGTGTGTCCATTGGATAGAAACAAAAACACACCAAGAAAAAAAATGATGTACGTCTCCCTAAAAAACAACCCCCCCC